AATCAGTGTCGAAATGGCCAACGATTTTGTCGAATCGGACGATACGGCAGAAGAGAGCTCACGATTACAGAAGCAAAGGGGAGACACCAGAACCAGGAGAGACAGAAGTGTTCATTTCGATACCACTGTTGGCGCTGACGGCGACCAATAGATTTGCGTTACATTCAATGCGCCAAATATTTTATTACTTCATTTTATCACATTTTAATTAATTGATTCATAAATTTAGTTCATTTTTAGTTATTCTGTAATTGTTTTAAACGGTAGAAAAACCAGTGAATTATTATTAGATTTCTAACAGCCGTTACTCTATTCCTATAGATTTATAATTATAAGTCCTAATTAATTGATTTCCATATCAAAAGTTTCAATGATTATTTGATTTGATTTGATTTTTCACTCATTTTCAATGTTAATTCAAATGTAATTTTCTTTTTTATTGGATAATAAAAAATAAGTTTTTGAAAATCAGTTAATGTTTACTAATTATTTGAATGAAGTATTAATGGGAAAAGAATTTAGAGAACACCAATCGTTTAGCAAATAATTGAGTAATTTGTTTGATTTTTCCGGATTTGCATAAAAAGTATTTTTTAATTAACAAAAGAAAATGATTGGAAATATACGTTCATTTGAACGCTAAACGATATTTTTATTTGCTTTTTCAAAATATGCTTTTGAAATGTAATGCATTTTCATAATGTACTATCAAATCATTGATTTGAAATCAACCAATACTTAACTGTACTATTCGTTAGTACTTTTTGGTTCAAATCAAAATAATGTTAATTTGGTATTCAATTAATTGAGAATGTATTGCAAAAAATAATCAGCACTTGTATTAACATTTTTGCGAAACATATCGTCTGTTTAATCAAATGAGTGACGATTTGCTAATTATTATTCTTAATATATGATGTAATGACAAATCTATGACAATAGTTTAGTGAATAACATTAGAGACAATAATTATATCACTGAATTCAATGTCAGTTATGACAGAATGAGAATTGAGATTATTTTACTAATTTTTATACAAATTCATACATTAATCGCAATTAATGGTAATTTTAAAAAGTTTTAAATACTTTGGAAATAAATCAATTTTAATTGAAACCAATTGATAGTAACGGATGAGGAAATTACACCACCGCCTGAAGAGGATATACCTAAAAGCAAAACTGTGACCGAGAATAGGGAACGGTATGGCGGAGATATGATGGGAATTATGCCACAACTGCCCAATCAAAAGGTATACAAACTATACATTTCTCTGAATATGATTTCAAAACATAATTTAAGCGTCAATTAGGCGGTGATGAGGAAGGCCTCGTCGTCCACTCGCAGGCAATGGCCGGGCGGTCACGTTATCTACCGGTTCGCACCCAAAGTCCAGTTCACTGGTAAGCGAACCATCAAATCAATGATCATATTCTGTGAATTGTCTTTAATGTATAGCTTATGAGAAGTCAGTGATCGCTTCGGCGATGCAAGAGATCGAAAGCTTGTCGTGTATTCGATTCAAACAGAGGACCAAACAAAAGGATTACATTAATATAATTAAAGGCCGAGGGTTTGTATCCCAACAGCTAATTATCTCTACAATTAACAAATTGATTGCTATTATAAACCAATAGCTGTTATTCATATGTGGGACGAGTGGGCGGTTCGCAGGATCTGTCACTGGGGAGGGGCTGCATGTGGAGGGGCACGTGTATACACGAGTTGATGCACGCCATGGGCTTCTTTCACGAGCACATGCGGTCGGATCGGGACTCCTATTTGATAATCCATTTGAATCACGTAATGCCCGGAATGAACGTCAACTTCGAGAAGAATCCC